TGATGTCATAGCCATCAAGATCCTTCCCGCCGAATGCCCCCGCGTCGCAGTCGACGAGGATCATATTCTCCATGCTGATGAGCTCCTTCACGGCCTTCTCTTCCCAAAACCTGCTGCGCTTCGGGTTCTCCAGCAGGATGAGGCCACCCATGGTCACGTGCTTGGCCAATGTCTTACAAAACCATCTCAGCAAAGGCCTTTCCGCGTCCCGGAGCATCATGAGTTCTTCCATCCTGTGGGCGTAGTTCCAGTTCTCGTCCATGACGCTCCAGTGGGTGCATCTGTACCCTGCCAAGACCAGCAACGGTCTGAGATTGTAGACCGCGTGCTCGAAGAGCTTCTTGCCCTCGGACGGACGTGTTCAAGTCAGTCCCGAGGTCTCGCTCAAAGGGTTGTAGTGCGTGGAGTCCATATCGCTGTGCTGTCTGCGTAGCCTTCGCAGTACCCGCAAAGGCTTCGCAAAGGTCGAAACCGAACTTCCGGTCCGCTGCGGTCGGCAGGCTGTTCAGAATCATGACCTCCTTCTCGAGGATGTTCACCGACTTCATCGCACTTCCTCCAAGACTCTTGAGTCGACCGGTTGGAAGTCGTCCAGATACTGGAACGTGCTGTGGCTCATCTGGTCGTCGAAGTCCGGCATCTCCTCCGGGTCGTTCAGTCCATGGCCTGCCGCCGAGGATGTCATAGATGGCGCTCGTGACCGACGAGGAGCTCGGAACATGTGGGGTTCCCCCAGGTAGTCCGATGCCGTAGGCCTCGGTCGTGTCGCTGTAGGCATTGGCCGCGTGCCCTGCTGGTCCACCATGACTCCCTCCGGAATCGGCACACGGTACCCATCGATCTGACCCAGCAGAGGTGGTATGGCCATACTGCCCATGCTGCCATCCAGTGTAGTCAAGGGCGATGGCGGTTGTCGCTGCGAGCTGGAGCACAAACCATCCAATATCCATCCTTGAGTATTGTTTCGCGTTCCCCATCGCCAGCGAAGGCTGCACGGGTGGTGGCATGTCTGCTGCCTTGTCTCCATTTCCTTGTAGAGCTTGTTTTTGGCCTCCCTCTTTCTGGCGTTGACCAGGCCACCATCGCCCTCGAGAACCACCTGGTTGTAGATCTCGTACTCCATGATGCCCAGTCTCGCCACCACCCGTAAAGTCCGCCAGCACGTCCTTGCGAGGCGTAGGATGTGCCTGACCACTGCTGACCATCGTCTGATCATGATGTCCTCCCGATTCATGGGTCGCCGCGGGAGAGGAGGACGAGATGGCCGGTTTCGTCGGGTCACCTAGCACATTCCTCATGGCTGCGGCGTTGATCAACAGATTCACCTCCGGATCATCCATGCCATGATCTTCAAGTTCTTGCCAAACATGACTCTTGTTGGGCTCTGGGGGAAACTCCACAATGCTGATAGCCAGGTGTAGTTTGGCAGTGCGGTTCAAGTGAGTCAAGTGGGCCTTTTGGTTGGGGAAGTCCAGCACACACCCAAGTTTTTCTGCAAGGTGGTAAGGCTACCGAGGAAGGGGATGCTGGCCTTCACGATGTTGGTGCCCAAAAGGAAACACTCTTCCCCTACAGCTGCTGGAAAGGTCATCTGGCGGGTGGAGATCTTTGGTTTGCCGGCACCGAACTGAAAAGTCTCATGACAGGTGCTCATCATGGGTTTCAAACCAAACTCCGCCAGCACATCCACTTAACTGTCACACCATGCCTCGCCACAGCATGACCTCTGACAAGCTGTGTCAATCACCATGTAGCCTGCTGCCTCTGTGGTTGTCATGTTCTGACACATGCACATGGCGAAGCATCATCACGAAGTGTGACTTTTTCTTACACCCATTCTCATCTGAACACTCTACGGTCTTGTCGTAGGCGGTCGAATGGCGGGTCACAACAGCCTTGCGGTTGCCCTTGTCGCTACGGTTCTTGCCGGTGCCACCGTCCTTGGAACTGCGTGCTTTGCCACCCTTGCCAGGCGCCCCCGCACTGATCTCACACTCACTGTCCCCGGCCCAATGGCCGGTTTTCCCGCAGGCTGCGCAACTGCTGGTGGCTTTCCTCTGCTGCACCGACTGGGTCTTGCCATTGCTGAAGCCTCGATCTTGCGTGACTTTGGCGAGCTTCTTTGCAGTCACTGTCAAGACCTCCGCCAGCTGACCAAGTTCGTCACCTTCTTGGTCTTCATCTTCTCCATACTCATCTTGATCTTCTTGATCGCCATCATCCTCGTGGTTGCCCTCGTTGGTGTCCTCGGGGATGGTCTCCAGGCCGTCCACCGCGTCCTCGAACTCCTCTTCGGCTGACACTGCAAGGACCCGTCTCGGGTAACTGCCGTCGCCCTTGCTGTTGCCCTTGCGGTAGCCGTTGTTCTTGCCACCTGGTGCCGCGGGCGTCCTGTGAGTCCAAGGCTTCACGGTTTTGTCCCTTCAAGTTGTTGTGGTTGAGGTTCTCCCGGCCGAAGACTGGTGGCGAGGGCTTGTACTCCAGGAACTGAAGTGTCAGCGCTGAACGCACCGCCTCGTAGTTAAGCTGCTGTCCAGTGCCCACCAACACCATCCGTTGCTGGTCCAGGCTGAGCTTGGCACGGTCCAGCAATCGTGAACCCCGAGACTCGGAGTCGTAGGACAGTGCCATGTCCACTCTGATCGCCTTCAGCGAGACCTCCACGCGGCGGTACCTGTTGACGAAGGATCGCATTGACTCCTGGGGCAACCGCGCAATCGTCTCAAACTCATGCAGGTAGTGGCGCTTCACGTACACCGACTTCTGCTGAAAGGCACTCCTCAGCTCGTCCAGGATGTACTTCACGCCCTCCTTGTGGTAGATGCAGTTCACATCTACATGTTCAAGTTCCATTCCGCTTCTCCCTGCAGGCTCACGTACAACTGCAAGCCAGCCTCCGCGGCCGTCATATAATTGTTGACTTGGAGCGCCCAGACGTTGACCTTGCGTTCAAACCGGTCAAAGGCGCGTATGTCGCCGCTCTGGTACTTCCATTGTGGTGGTGTAGGAGGCGTGCCGCCGCGAAACCGTACACCGCGCTGTGGACCTTTCAACGAAGTCCACGACTCATCGTCACCATCCTTCTTGGCCATCTTGATGGCCGCGGTGAGGGTATCCACCGAAAAACCAGCTGCCGGTTCCTGCGTAGGAGTTGTTCGTGCTGGTAGTTCTTCATGATCAAGTGCGTCGTCCGGTATGATGAAGGGATCATCGGTCGGAGCTTCGCTTTCACCAGGCTCGTAGCTGTCGCCGTCTCCAGGTCCATCTGGTGGTCCACCTCCGGTAGCCGCTCTCTTCCGTCTCCTCTGCCTCCTCGATGATCCGGATGAAGCGGTTTGACCGTCTGGTTGAGCGGCACCAGCGGGGATGTACATCCAGGTGCCGCGGTCGAACTGCCGCTTCGTCGGGCGATGCGCATCGTAGAACTCTGCTCCACCACACGATGAACATGTCCAGCTCCTGTTGTCGCCATCCCAGTAGTGCTCCATGGAGTGACACTCCAAGCACCGCCAGTCTTCTTCTTCAGCATCTTGATGGTCGACCGCAGGTCCACCGTCTGGTTGTACATGAGGTTGTGGTTCCGGCTGCGGTCGTGCAGATGCTTTCGACCAAGGTGAAGGTGTAGGTCCTGCTTTCGTGCCGCCTGCATCGGCCGATGAGCCTGGCCGTTTCGGTACTGCTTGTCGAGGTGGTTGTGGATCAGGTTCACGTGATGGGCTCCGTGAGGTAGGCAGATGATCCTCGTCAACCACCACCTGGACTTCATCTGGTCCAAGCCTCGGGTGGATTGGTCGTGCTGGTACTCCAAGAGGAACTCCACCTGGCCATAGTGCATGAATCGGATCCGACCCCATCGGCATACATGGTCCTGGCCAGCCCATAGGAACTTGCCAAAGAGGAGCACCCGGAAGTCCAGGATGTACACCACCGTGAACCTGCCCATGAGGCACTCCAGGGAGATGTGATAGTCCCGGGTGGTCAAAGCCCTTGAGGCTGTCCAGGTCGTAGCGGTGGCATCTGCCCTTCGTGTACACGAGCGGCTCCAGGGCCTCTTGCTCCGTTAGGATGCTCACGCTGAAGAGCAGCACCACCTTGTAGGTCGTATTCACGGGGATCATGCCGAAGAGCGTCTTCCGGTCCTCGTGCGCCTGTATGGTGATCTCGCCGGTGGGCACCATCAGGGCCTTGAGCCCCTTCGTGGTGACCGTGCCGAAGAGCATCATCATCAGGTAGTAGCTCATCGTCGTACTGTGACGTGTCGGAGCCTCTGCTTGGTGATTGGGCTCTCTCTTCTTCTCCAGGCCGGTGGGCGTCACTTCCGCCAAGCTCATCAGCTCCGGCTCCAGCACCGCCTCCGTCGGCGTGTCCCTGCGTGGTGGGCTGAGGGGCATCACCGCCAATGACGAGGTTCAGTCCTCAAGTCCGGCGTCCCGCCGCTCTCCTCTGCCGGCACCACGTCCTGCCAGGAAGGCATCGCTGATGCCGATGTTGGGCTCCCGAATCGCTGTGAGGAGCTCCGCTACCAACTTGTGGTAACGCTCAGCGAACGTTTTCCATGGTTCCGCCACGCTGCGAGCGGAAGTAAAGAGTCTAATTGACTCAAGGGCGCCGCTAAGCCAATGGCCGCGAAAGGCAAATGCATTGGGGACCCAAAGAAGAAACACCGCAAAACTCACACATAGCTGTTGTTTTGCATCTTCTGACAAAGCCTCAGCTTAGGAATAGGACCGAGGTAGATCCAACCCGACTGGCTTTGGAAATGCGCCTTTTTTTGGTGCTTTCCCCAAAGCCCCAAAACAGGCACAAAACACTGCAAATACCAGTGAATTCTCAAGAAAGGTAGATCCATGGGGGGGGGTACCATATGTATGTGTATATATATATATATATATATATATATATTCATTTCTATGAAAAAAAAAGAACTTCAAACACCAAGGTCGCAACAGTTTGAGGTTCAGGCCAGCTCAGAACTCAACTCGTAACTTGGGGCAGGATGCCATCGTTCTCGGCCTCCGCAAGGGCGCAGGTGGCGTACAGCACCACCCCCCCGACCTTCACCAGCGACGCGGCGCTCCGCAGCAGCTCCTCCGGAGGCGCCCGAGCTGAGTTTGGGTGAGCCGACCTGTGGGTTCGGCCAACACAACGCTTTTGGTTTTGGGCCGGGGGGGGAACCCTTTTAGGTTGCCCAAAAAAGGAGCTAATTAGCCCATGAATTCGTGGCTGAAAGTTGGGGGGGTTCATTTCATTTGACCGAGTTCACTGAACAGCCCCCGGGATCCGTGGGTTTCATTTGGTGCGAACCCCTCCAGCTGCCGCTGGGCGTTGGCTTTCACGGCACCGGCAGACCAATGCGGCAAGCCGCCCTGGTGCACCAGGTGCCGATCCTCGGTATTTTGCCGATACCGATGGACCAAAAAATCCGCCAAAATCAGCGGTTCCCTTTAGCTTCCCTCAAAGAGGGACACCCCCAACTCGCACCAGGTTTTTGAGATGTGGTCATCCATCCCAATTGGTGCGAGGTGGATTTTGCCTGGCAGGATTGTCCGATGTCACACCCAAAGAACGTGTCTCAACTGAAGCAAGCCGAGAGTCAGAAGTGCACGGAGCGTCTACCAGCACGTAGTCGAATGGCGCAAGCCGTTGCAAGGGAACTGGGACAGATCCAGCCGCATCCGCATTTGTAATGCTCACATGCCCCTTCTCACCTGCCGCATGTGCCATTTAGTGTGCGCCATTTGTCTCAAGCAGCATTTGCTGACCATCCCGGTCACTTGCTAGCTAGTTTCCAAAGGTACGTTCGCAACGTGGCCTGCAGCCAGAAAATCTGGTGGCAAAAAAGAAGACATCACTTTCTGCAGTCGTTGCAATCGTGGGCGTGACATCTCATTGCACACCAAATGTCCAGATACATCGCCTGGGCAACACGAAAGCAGCGACATGCGCACGCAGCATGCAGGCAAGTCCAAATGTGCATTTGATGCTGCCGTGCCGCATGTGCCCAGAAGCAGCGATGCAAGCATCAGTGATTTTCCCCCGGGGGCAGCACAAAGATCAAGAACACTTGCCCCGGGCGCCACGTCCATGACCGCTGCGGCAATGGCAGATGCCCCATCCAGAAAGTAGCCTTGGGCACATAGGCAAAGCAATGCATCGCGTGCAGCGCAAATGTTCGAGTGAGACTGGCGAGCCAAGTCCGCCAAGCCGCAAGGCAACCATTCTGAAGTGCTGGCCTGCGCGAATCGATCGCCCTCCTGTATGGCGGTTGAGCCAAGAACAAGCAGCTAAGGACATGAAACGCTTCCTCATCACCATCGCCGCAGGCCGTCTCATCTGCAGCTACGAACACTAGCGGAATACGCTCATGTGGCTGTAGGCCGCGCAATCTGAAGATCTCCTGACAGTCTGCCTGTTGAATGACACAAGCCTGAATCAAACCCTAGTCAGGCCTCTCTGCTTGGAGCTGGCATGAACGGGTTCAACAACACGACATGCTGCACCGGTCGCCGCAATGCAGAACGCAGCTGTACCCAGCGCTCCTGCTAACATGCAAGTTTGCATACTCTGCATGCCTGATTTTTGTGCATGCCTCAACATGACGACATGTCGTGGTGCAAGCAATGAGGGCGTGGCCTTGCCAAAGGTTTTCACATGGGTGGCTTGCCACCCAGACTCGCCACGCACTGCCATGGCCAGCACATCACACAATGATGCCACTCAAAACAATGCCAAAGTGTCTGAAAGTGAGGCTCAACTCATGGCCGCTAAGTGCTGCATGCTTCTGGTAAATCAGAGTTTGTCCACATTGCCTTCAAGCCAAGGATGCATCGAATACAGTACTGCAACAAACGCAGAAAACATGCTTGAGAAAAAATACCAAGTGACGAGGCTGTGTGGATCCGTTGTCTAATTCAGTTCTCCAGCGGTCCGCCGCGGCCCCGCGCAACGGAGACGCTGCGCAACCAAGCACAGGAGTTGGCGCGTATCAGAACATGTCCAGGATGAGAGGTTGGAGGAGCGTTCCAGGTCAAATGACAGCGATACGTATTTGCGGGCATTTGGTTCGAAGGGGCCAGCAAGGGCGCGGCGTCCAGTGTCCGATCACGGGCGGATTACAGTCACTGTTCACGCCAAAGGCCGACTCACGCTCGGCGCGGAGAACAAAGGAGCCCACGCACGTGCAGCGCCCCTTGCGGATGCGTGGCGTGCTAGCTGCTGCTTGCACCAGGCGTTGGGTGTCCTTGCTTCCCGCGGCTACCCAGCACGCGCTCGCAGCCAGCTTGTTGTGCCTTCCCTGCAAGCCTGGAACGTCCATGGCGAGGCACCTTGATGCAGCGGGTGGAGAAAAATAATATATACTTCTGCCGGTGGCTGGTTTCTTGTCTTCTTTTGTGTGTCGCCACCCACAGCTTCCCTTGGCTTTGCTGTCGTGCTCGCATCTTTTGGGAGCTTCAGACCGTTGATGGTACCGTTGCCACCCTGTTTGGTGCTCCTCACTGCGAATGCCCCGTCCTGGGAGGATTTGTGCCATTCGTTCAGCCCACCGTCAGTTGTCCGGCCTGGGTTGCTTAAGTGAGCTCGGGGTGGAAAAAGGCGGGCAGCAACAACAAGTCAGGGTCTTCTGCCAAGCGGCAGCGGCTCCAGGGTGAAACGGAGGAGAAAACACGGGCAGCTGCTTTTCGGAGGCCGGCGTCCCCACGCTAAGGTCGCGGACAAGGGTGTGGGTGCACACCAAGCGGCCCCCCTCGCGCTCGCAACACACCAGCCTTGGGGCACGCTGCCCGGTGGTCTCCCAACACATCATGCTTCCGCCCGCAGGCGCAACGTGCGGGCAGCAAAGGCAGTGGAAGGCGAAGCCGCCTCAACAACATAACACGGAACTGCGCCGGCTCTATGAGGAGCCCGAGGACCTGGGCGGAGCACGGGCCAGACTGGGACAACAGCATAGCTACCGAGGCGGGGTCAAGCCCCTCACAATGATTGCTGGCTTGGCAAACCTCAAGGGTGGCTGCCGCTGCTTGCTGCCACCCACGCAATCGGTTAGGCTCATGGTCCTCGACCTCCCGCAGCGCCTGCGCGTCATGGCCAACAAGCATGTGTCAGGAAGGAGTCCCGAACCCCTTCCCGTTCAGGTCTGCAGCCGCATCGTGCACAGCGGCGACCACTCGACAACTGCTGCGGTTTCCAGTTGGCGGACAATCGTCTGCGCCAAGGCGCGACGCGCATGGCAACGCCCTTGCTTGACCTTGCAGCCCAGCTCCACCCACGTGAGGAGGAACCTGGCTCGGTGTAACACGCCCGTATCCACCTCCATCGCGGCAGGACGCGGGCTTGGAGACCAAAGTGTGGCAGGAAGTGCCGAGCCTCCAGCCGGCAAGCAATCCGCCCACGAGGCCCAACAAGCGGATTGCACTGCTGGGCCTCCCTCAGCGCCGCAAAGCAAAAACACTAAGCATTGTCTCGTCATGCGCTTGTGCACAGGCAGTCGCCAGTGCCGGCGGCACCATTTCGAACAGCATAGTTAGACCGGGGCGAAGCACAGTACAGCAACAACAACCAAGCAACTTGCAAATCGGGAAGGGTCGGAAGGACTTGCAAGAAACGCAACTGTTTGGAGTGTAACAAATGCATCCGAGCCCATCGGGGCCCCCAACACTGTGACGCCCTGCTCATGCAAAGGCAATTGGGCATCTCCCCTCCAGGCCGCGCTGTCGGGGGCAAAAAACTGGCGGGCAAATTGAAGGCAAGGCGCGCCGAGCTATGCGGAGAACTGCTCCTTCAACACGGCGGTCGTAGACCCATGCCCAGCCGGCTGATTCCAACGCTGACATGCAGGGGACTCAGCCGCGCAAAGGCCAGCGGCTGGCGGCGGCTCGAGCAGGCTGGGGCACTGCGACGGCGCCGGCCACGCACGGCCCAAAGCAGTGGACCCAACGGCCTATCACGTGGGCGACCCATTGCTGTGGCAGCATCTGACCTTTGGGTCCCAGAGCATCACGCACATTCACGCACAACCCACACCCAGGCCTACTCGACGAGTCGAGCGAGCAGACCAGTCCGCGTACAGCGTCAACGACGCCTCCACAGCCGGGCCCTTCGGCGACACACCGGCTGCGAGCAATGGGCAATGGCAGCCGCATCCGGCGCCTCAGCACAACCTGCATGGAACCCGGCGTCAACGTGGGCATCAGCCGGGATGACCGGTGCGGCAGCGACCGCAACGGCGACAGCAACGACAGCCGCGAGCAACCACAGGCACAGTGGCAACGGCAGCAACACACAGGTCACAGGCCCACCACGTGTGCCCCTGCCTGAAGGATTGCGGAAAAAGCGCAACAAAAAGAAACCAAACAAACAACTCTTGGACGTCGCTGACGCGCTCCTCGCCATGATTCCGCACTGAGCTCGGTCACGGTTCCGTCATGATTCCGCCATGATTCAGCAGCGACTCAGGGCCACCCGTGGGCTCATTGCTGGGGCGCGGCCCGCAGGCGGGGCTCCGCCCGCGCTGGCCGCACTTTGGTCGACTGTCCGACGGGCCCGTTCAGCATCTGCGCTTTTATGACTGAACACAAGAACAATCCTCACATGCTGCCTTCATATCCGCTGCATTTGAGACACTTGTGCACTTGTCTCCCACTTTTGTAGTGGGGACATTTCTGCTACGTGCACTCACCTCCGGCTCGCTGTCGTTGGCCTCCTGAAACGTTGCCTTGCCGGTCCACAGCCACTGCACCAGGCTCAAGGCTCCTATGCCGGCCAAAATGGCTAGTGCCGGCCACATCCAGCGTCGCTCTCCGCTCCTTTGGGTTCAATCTCCTCCATCTTGGTTCCGCTGGCTCTGATCACGTTGGCAAAGGCCATCACCAAAGCCATGCGACACTCATCCTTCAAGCCGCTGAGAATCTTCTTAGCGCCCTTGTCGCTCAGCATCTTGTGCTCGATGTCGCGGAACTCGTCCTTCCCGAGCTCGCGGTTGTCGTCGTCGACCATGCCCGTCATGAACATCAGTCCTCTCATCCTGGCGCGTGCCAGCGCCTTGGTGCCAATGTCCGCGCTGTTGATACTCGTCGGAATGGCCGTCACCCTGATCACCTTCATGACTGCATCTAGGTGTCGGGTTCTGCCAATCCCAACTTGGCTGCACATTCCACGGGCCGCGCTGCTGTCTGACCTGCACACCAAGGATGGTGTGTGGCCTCTGATGAAGGACCACACGTGCCGAAGAAAAAGTCCTTCACTGCATCCAGAGACCATGGCCACGTACTCGCTCTCACCGCTTGACAGTGAGATGCTTTTCTGGCTTCTCACTCTGCTCTCCATGGGGTTGCCGTCGAGGAACACCTGGAAGCTCGTGATGCTCTTCCTTGAGTTCTGGTCCCCCGCGTAGTCGCTGTCAGTGACAACCTCCATGAGATGAACTTTCTTCACCTCGATCTTCTGCATTTCTCTCATGTCCAGCATGGACTTCCCACACCTGCTGCTCTTGATGAGCAGTCCGTAGAACTCCGTGCCGACCAGGTAGCTCGCCAATCCATGCCGTCTTCGTAGGCTTTGACATCCACGCAGCAAGAGCATTGATGGCAAACTGGCAATCAGGCCGCCCACCTCCAATGTAGAGCATCTTCCCCACGATCGACCTGAACTCTGACACCTCCGACTCCGGCAGCTCTGCACTGCCGTCTCTTTTCCCAAGGTCGCTCCTCGCGGGTGTCTTCTTGTAGTTGCCTATCTTGATGTCGGCCTTCTTCGCGATGTCCTCGATGTGCTTGGGATCTGGCCGGATAACAAAGCCCTCGTAGGTCCTGTCAATCTTCCTCTTGAGGTGCTCGAAACTTTCGCCAATGTCGAATGGGCCTTGCACACCTCGCACTTCCAGCCTCTGTCTCCTAACTCCCTTCTCTTCTCCTCAGCGCCAACCATCAAGAGGTCGTCCACGTGCAGGCTGATGTAGAGGTCCCTCTCGAACTTCATCAGAGTTGGCATCCTCCATGCCAAACTCTCGTGCTGCATCCCGGAAGTGGATGTACCATCTGTTGGCTGCTGTCCGCTGTCCTGGCAGACATCGGACCAACTTGTACCTCTTCCCCTTGTAGGTCACCGATGCCCTCTTTTATCTGGCTGGGGCACCATCAGAAACGCGCCCTTGACGTCGATGACCTCCACGCCGTAGTACTGTGGGCAACATGCTGCCAGGTGCAGCAGCATCCGGGGAATTGCCATCAGCGATGTGGGTCTCGCTCTCCTGAACCAGCCTCCTTTCTCCTCTCTTTTCTTCCACGTGATGACCATCTTGGTGGTGATGTCGCTGCTGTAGTCGTTCTCCTCATGTGGCTGCAGCTCCGTCAGGGCAGGCATCTCCTTCAGCCTCGCGGTTTCTTCTTCCTCCGCCTTCTCATCCATTCTCTGGATCTCCTCCTGATCAAACTGCATGACCTGCATCTCGTCATCCACCGTTTCCTCTGCTTCCTCTGGACCCTAATCATTCAAGTCCAGCTCACCGATGCGATCTCGTCCCGTGGGGCATCACCGTGCTTTCATCGAGATTGAACTCGTCGATGCCTCTTCTCTTTGTTGGCGATTCCTCCTCGCTGAGGTGATTTCCAGGTCTTCGCGCTCCATGAAATGCTGCCTCTTCTGATCTCCTCATGGCTTTCGCCCTTCTCGCACTCTCCTCTTCTTCTTCCTGTTTCCTTCCTCCTGGGTCGCTCATCGCTGCTG